AAATTTGACCCAAGATTCAAGTTTGACCCAAAATTCAAATTTAAATTTGTTTAGTATGTGGTATTGATGGTACATTGCTTTAATATTAGTCATATGCATGTTAAGCGATCAATCCGAGCACTTATTGTTGATGTGAAAAACTTGCCTCAATGAGCTCCGAAGCTAGGCTAAACACCACATTCCTAAGCAAAAAAATTCAACCTCTTATAAATGGGCCAAAAATCAAAACTTGACATCTAGTGTGCAAATATAGGGTCCATGCCAAATATAGGATCATTTGGATAAATTATGACAATCTTAGCCCTAAACCCTAGCTTGAATCACATGCAACCTCGTTCATGATAGCTATGTTGTGTGAAGGGTTTTTCATGAAAATACCCATAGACCAAGTTTCTTATTTTTCCCATCAACTCACTCACATAATATGATGATGGGTGAAAGTTTCATATTTTTATGATTTTTTTAATTAGTTATGATCAACCCTAGCTTGAATCCCATGCAACCTCGTTCATGATAGCTATGTTCTGTGAAGGGTTTTTCATGAAAATACCCATAAACCAAGTTTCTTATTTTTTCCAGCAACTCACTCACATAAAATGATGGGTGCAAGTTTCATATTTTTATGATTTTTTTTGAATTAGTTATCCTCAACCCTAGCCCTCAAAACCCTCTCATAACCCCTCATAACCCCATCTGAAACCCCGCATCTTTCCGAGCCGCTAGATCTCTGTTAGTGAACGGTCTGGATCAGGCGCTAGGGCCACATCACTAATCCGCGTGATGCTCTGTGATTGGCTGCATTCGACAATGCTGGATAACCCCCCCCCCCCTCTTCTCTGCATCGCTGGATCACTGCGCGTTCAACGGTGTGGATCAGCATGCAGTGCCACATCAGCGATCCACGGGCTATGCTCTGATTTGCTATAGTGGTTTTTAGAGGATGCAGTGCCATGCAGTAGCCGTTTGTTTTTTACGCTGCGGCGAGTGGGCTAGCCGTTGGGCTCTGGTAAAAGAAGCCCACCAGTTAGACCTTTGGACCGAACGTTCCCTCCTCTAGTCAGGCCCTAGCCAGCAGGCTACATTGCCATGCATGCATGCACGGGCGGCACATGCAGAGAAAACGGGGCAGGCGTGTCCCCTTGAGCCACGACGGCACAGACGCGTGCGGGACGTCGCAGCATGGCAATTGATGCACGGGATAGAAGACCGGGCAGGCATGACCCCTTGACCCACGACCGATGGCACAGACGCGTCGTAGCCTGGCTATTGATCCAGTGTTTGATGGAAGCTTTGGTTTCCCACGCTCGTGTACACACTTCGATGGGGCGCCACCAAACGCCGTCCGCTCATTACTTCCACCTGGTGAAACCACTCAAAGAAATCAAAAACCACATCGCACTTGGGCTATTTAATTTAAGCCACACCTATCGTCTTCCTCTCCCTCCTCAGCATACCCCCTACCCCATCCTCTCCCATCTGCTCTCCTTCTTCCTTCTTCTCCACAAATCAAACCCGATCGAGCCACCATGCAGTACAACAGGCCCACCTACCGCTTCCCCCCAACCGTGCCGAAAAGGCTCTACCCGGCCGGAGTCTACGTAGAGAGAACCCTTAGGGTGTGGGCGATCTCAAGGTGGAGGGGCGCAAAGAAGTTAACGGAGTTCTTCCTTGCGGCCGGCTTCCGCCACCTCCCCCGTGGCTCTCCAAGGATGTTCCATGTTGAGGAGGTCAATCACAATGGCGTTGTGGTTGCGCTCCTTGCTACGTTCACCAACCCCTTCAACGCCTTCCACTTCCTCGGGCGAGTGTTTTTGTGTGGGTGTGAGTTTATAGCTTTTTCACCACCCATAATATCTTCACCGACTTCAACAGCATCTTCCCCAACAACGGCATTATGCACACGCTCCCGTACCCCATCGACAACGGGGAGGAGTGAAGGGCGCCCAGAGGAGTGAGGTGACATTCACCCAGAGGAGGAGAAGGAGAAGAGCCCGCGTTTGGTGCCCCCCGATCTATCTAGCTAGCTATATATCTATCGTATTAGTATTTTAAGTTGTAATCATCATGCTACTATTATTAAGTTGTATTAGTATTTTAAGTTGTAAGGCTATTGTGGAACTATGGGTTGTAATCGTTATGCTACTATATATATTGTTGTTTCGTGCTATTATTTGTAGATTGCTATGGGTTGTTCTTGCTATTATTTGTGTATTGCTATGGGTTGTTACGGGCCCGGGTTGCTACATCCCAATCACCACACACACCATCTTCACAATATTGGCCAAATCATGGGTCATGACCCAAACCATGGACATGCAACTAGGAGCCCCATGCAAACCCACCATCGACATGCAACTAGGACATGCAAGTATATATGTATGTTTTGTTCAAGTAATAGTGTGCTATTTCTCCTTGCGTTTTTTGATATGTTTCATATGTTGTTAGGGGGGGTGACAAGTTCTAATTTTTATGTATTTATGAGTCATGCAAGTAACACCACATGGAAAAACATTTTGGTAGGAGTAATAAATATTTTCATGAACCATTCAACACTTAACAGAAGTATTCTTTTTCAAAAGTTAAAAGAAGAAAAGTTTCTGTTTGGGTTAAGACAAGTAAAACAAGTAAAACGTGTGCTAACTCTTTGCATTTTCTTGATCTTCTTCAGTTCCTCGATCATCTGCATTAGATGCATGAATGGATCTATCTATCCTCCTTAAAACTGATTCAACTTATTTAATGTATCACATAATGTTTTATCGATTTACATTTGTGTATCAAAAAATGATCCATAACAAATTTAGTGCACGACCTTTTTTGTCAAAGCAAAACATGGGTGCACCAAGCGGGTGGGCTTGTTTTCTATTTGGGCCTGCTTTTTCTCACAGTCCTCATCATCCCACGGCCCAATAATATTTTTTACCATGAACTCTGCACCTGCACTCTGTTAACTGAAGAATTGCTGCATTTTATTCATCAGTTGCTGCATTTATTCATCAAGGGGAGCAAACAATCCATGGACCCACTGAGAATAGGGCCCCTGAGAATATCATTACAATAATTCAAGCAAGTTTTGCTTGACACAAATTCAAATTCATCTAACAAATGATCCCTCACTAACTCAAACTACTAGCTAGATAGAATAACTGAAACTAGGGAACCCCTGAAACTAGCTTGACACACTAACTGAAACTCTAACAAATTCTAGCGATTGATGAACATCAAGTAAAATGAACCCATAGCAATGACACAACAATAAAATGCTCCAGCCATCATATTTGCTTGCTGCTTCAAATTGATCAGATGCTTTAGTTGCTTGCCAATTTTCTTCAATTCACACTTTAGTTCAGCACTGTGCATCATCGGATCGGCTCTGTCCGCCAAATGGGAGGCTTGTTCCACGGCAAGCTGCC